CTAATAAGAAATCTGTCAAGCCTTGCCAAAGAGGGGTTTTGCCTTTTATTTGACCAAGTAAAGCATCTTCCAGATAAAGGTAAATCAATAAGAGATGAAGAGGAAACAAAGTTCCTAAAATAATTAATATCCCTAAGAGATCCATTACGACCATTTCGTTCATCAGAGGATAAAGTAACATTGAAGTCTCCACATAGGATCCACGGACCAGGAAGCATGTAACGAATTCTGTCTAACTCCCACCAACAAACTGCTCTATCCTCTCTATCAGTAGGGGCATAAACAGATGTGAATATAAAAGACCAATTTGTTGGTTTATGATGAAGGTGGACAGAAACAGAGAAGATCCCAACATATGACTTGACTAGGGAAAAAGCATCTGACCACCCTACTAAAACTCCTCCTCTAGATTCTGAGGAATTAAGATGACACCAGTGAGAGATTCTCCTTCCCCCAATTGATTGAAGTTTTCTAGGTGAAGGATCAAAAAGTTTGCTTTCTTGAAGACCAGCAACATCAATACACTGACTATGAAGATAATCCTTAACCAGCCGCCTTTTAATTGGGCCATTAAGACCCCGAACATTCCAAGAAGTAAATTTCATTAAAAAGAAATATGAAAACCCCACCACAACTGACCAAAAACAGACAAACATCATATAGCCTCTCTATGCCTCTCCACCTCTTTAGATTGAATAATATGCATAGATTTCTCCGATATAGCAATACCACAATTATCAGCAATAAGTTCAAAATCATTCTTATCAAGAGAATTAATTGGCAGAGCAGAGGATGATGTCGAGGAGGATGCAGATAGAGTACCTTTTTTCGACTTGTTGGCCATCTTTTTAGAAGACGAAGCAAGCTTGAGGAAGCTTTTGTTTTTGCGACCAAGATAAGTTTTACGAACTGAAAAAGAAGATGATTCAGATGCTGGACGCCTAGAGAATCCTGGAGGAACAGAGCTGGAAAAGTGAACTGAAGGTGTTGCTGCTGGATTTGGCGGTATGGAGGATGCTGAAGAATTTGAATTTGTTGGAGCAGATTTCCCGCCAATGTAATTTTGCCAAGTTGATTTCTCAATAAATATGGTACGGCCCTTCCATGTCTGTTTAACCAAATCAAGAGGAAAATCTTGCAGAGAATCAGGAATTGAATCAGGAATATCATGCAAACAATCCTCCTGAATATTAGCCTTAGGATCAGCCATAATTAAATCCTTGGGATCCTCTTCCATAATTGCCGTTTTTTGAATTTGAAAACCATCCTTAGGCAAGATCGAATCAAAAGGAAAGACCTGAAAATTAGCTGATTGAGGATTGGGCAAAGAAGGGTCCATAATACCCTTCCCTTTATCAGTCTCTGGTCTGACAACCTCATCTTGGGGTTTTTCCGGCGACATGACTACAGGAGCAGTCACTTGCTCAGCCCATTGAGATTCAAGAATTATATCACCTTCAGCTTGCATGGAATTAAGATGCTTACCAATAACTTCAGAACCCTGTTGACCAATTCCAATAGGAATAATATCTAACGAAACTTCTCTAGTAAAAGAGTCAACCTGGGAAGTATAAGAGCAAACTATTGATTTAGGAATGCAATCAGCTGCTTTCACTTTGACAAGAACACGAACATCTTGGCCATTTAACTTATCCTTAAGATTTTTGCAACCCTGGATCATATCACCAAAAGAGCTAACAATCTTTTCAAGAATATCGAGAGACCAGAAATGAAAAGGGAGATTCTTGATTTTGATCCATTGATAAAAGGCGGAGTCCACTATCTTCATACCAATATTCTCAGTCCATGGTACAAACCAAGCCTTAAACTTCTCAAAATCATGTAATTTCACATCTACCACCTCTGATAACTGAAAAAGAGAAGGAAATTCTACTAGAAATCTGTTGCCTTGAATGGGGATAACTTTACCAGACCAATTCCGCCATTGAAAAATCAAAGATAACTTGATCTTAAGCAACTCAAGAGATGGTGAGCCCTCTGTAACAGTCATGATGGCAAATGAAGCAAGAACCTTAGAATTATTGCAAAGGGAAGAGGAATCAGATAGATCTACTTTTTTTGCCAGAGGACGTAAATGAGATCTGCAATTCTTAGCAATGTGGCCCTCCTCATGACAATTGAAGCAGATATAAGCACCCTTAGGACAAAATCTGGTAGAATGGCGTTCATCCCCACAATTGAAGCATCTTCTAGG